GTCAGTCATGAAATCTAATAATATTGGAATTCTTACCAAAGAATAATGTCATTAGAAACATGCTGGGTAGGCATCTTTTCCACCATACTGAGCGTATCTGTCAGGCCCATCCCAAGAACAGTGATGAAACAGTCCAGTCAAGTACAGTTCCTTTATTAGCTTACACCTTATAGACAGAATCTTGCCAAACTAAATCTATACTACAGCAGCTAGTGGATATACCCTGGGAGATTCTAGGGAGTGGCATATTGACATCAATATGCAGATAATAGGCAGCTCTTCTTTTTTTTTTCCATCTATTACTAGGGAAGCTGTTGATATTTTAGATCAGTATTTGATATTGTAGGAGCAGAGCCAAATTAATCTTTGGAGGCAAAAATCGGAAGGAGTCTGGCACTACCTTTTCCAGCTGATAAATTTTATTAAAAGGCTTAAACTTTTGTGAGTTGCAGCTCATTTCATCAAATGCAGAGAGTGGCTAAACTGCTGTAGTATTTAAACTATGGAGGAGGCAGGTTGGCTATACAGATGCAAGTTACATGAGAGACAGTTTAAAGTACTTTATCAATTAAGAATTATAATGTGTTAAAGCCTATTGTTCCAATAGAAGAGAATATCTGTGGCTCAGGGTTGAACTATGGAGTCCTTGGTGCTCTCTGAGCTTGGTTGTTTGCTTGCAGATGTTTCATTACCCATGGTAGTGAGTATGGGGTTTGCTCCCTGTTTATATACAGTAGCTTGCCCTGCCAGCGTTGCTCCCTGGGAGCAAACCCCACACTCATTAGCATTGATGAAGTTACCTAGTTGGGTAATGAAATGTCTGCAAGCAAACAGCCAAGCTCAGAGAGCTCCAAGGACTCTAAAGCCTATTGTGTTTGTTGAGGCTTTCTGAAATATTTGAGATTTTCTGAGTATCTGATGATAGTTATGGACCAGATGAGGGATAATACACTGAAACTTAATCCAGACAAAATAGAGATTATCTAGTCAGGAAGTGGACATAGAATAGAATTTCAGTATGTTTGGGGTGGGGTAGTATTCTTCCTGAAAAGTCTTTGTCCATCTAAAATGATATGGTCTGATGAGGTCAGACTTGGTTCCAGTAACAGTTATAGACTAACTACTTTTAGATTGGATGAATAAAGTATATTTTTGATAGATTATCAGTATAACCAGGTGCCTAATCCGTCTATGAATTCATAGATGACCAGTCAAAGAACTCCAGTTATAGTAACCAGTTCCTTTAGAAGATGCTGTCTTTTGCTTCTGCCTGCTTTATAGTTTTTAGTTAAGTATTTTATACACTTTGTTTTAATGTGTTTTCAGCATTGTTTTTGTTTTGTCTGTTAAATATTGTAATTTTTATTCCAAATATTGTATATATGCAAAAGAACAGGATGGCAGTCTTCCAGGTATGGAACTGAATGTCCCTAGTCTACAATTGTTACAGAGCAATTTGGCAAAATTCCTCTGAAAAAACTATTGTTATATGCTATATGTACATGTGCACCTTCACCAAATTCCATTGAGATAAATGGAAATTAAGCCCAGATAGCTGGAAATCAAACCAAATGTGTTTTATGTGCAGATAATGTTATTTCCAAGTCATTCACTGAGTTTTTGTTTGCTTTTTGTAGGAATGACTTGTCAAGCCCGAACATCATACACAGAAGATGAAGTTCTCTGGGGTCATCGTTTTTTCCCTGTTATTTCCTTAGAAGAAGGATTCTTCAAAGTAGACTACTCTCAGTTCCATGCAACCTTTGAAGTTCCTACTCCACCTTACAGCGTGAAAGAACAAGAAGAAATGCTTCTTATGTCCTCCCCTTTAATAGCACCAGCTGTAGGTAACAGTAAAGAAAGGAATAATTCTATAGAATGTTTAGATGGCCTAGATGACGTTGGTACAAAGCTACCTTCCAAACTGCAGAAAATGACTGGAAGGGAAGACTTTCCTAAAAAACTGTTGAGAATGAGTTCTACTACTTCAGAAAAGGCCTATAGCATGGGGGATCTTCCTATGAAACTTCAGCGAATAAGTTCTGTCCCTGGAAATTCAGAGGAGAAACTGGTATCTAAAACCACAAAAATGTTATCAGACCCTATGAGCCAGTCTATGGCAGACCTGCCACCGAAACTTCAAAAGTTATCAGGAGGAGGAGGCAGAATGGAGGGAAACCTTCCCCCAAAGCTGAGAAAAATGAATTCTGATCGATTTACATAACAGGAACAAACTTTTTTAGGCATTACTTGAATTGCTATTATATCTAATTTGGGCAGAAAAGCAAAGATATTTAAATAATACTTAGTGACTGGGTTTCTTTACAGCTACATGTACTCTGGGATAATATTCTCCCCTATTAAGGACTGATAAAATCTACAATAAAAGATCTGAAGTTCAGCTTAGGGTCATCTGAAAGCTAATAAGCTAATACTATTTGGCATGTAGTATCATCACAAGCATGCAATAATAGTGTGCAAATTTTGCATATAGTTTTATGGCATGGTTCTTACTATATTTATACTGTATATTCTGGGAAAAATATAAATGGAGTGTTATTCTCCTATATTTCTTAAGCATTGATTAATAAGTAAAACAAAAGTGGGCTACTAACAGGGCAGATTATAGACTAATTTATAAGGGGCACAAAATCCAGCAAAAAGTAAGCATTTCAGGCATGACCATTTGCCCACTGCATCCTCCATTTCACATTCAAAAAGATGGGAGTTTTCTGCTGATACGTCTCCCACTCACTCAGTAGCAGCTCTCATGAGAGTAAGGAAAAGTGCAGGAGAAGGCTATACATAAATAAGAAATTGAATCAGACCTTTGGTTAACATTTAAATAAGTATTTAATTACTTTCCAGTCAATTCAGTTGAATGTGTATGTTGGCTGAATCATGCCCATTTTTTCCTGATGTAAATTGTGATGTTTTCTTCAGACAGTTACAGTGCATGTTTTCTTTGTTCAAATAAGGCTATAGCTATTAATAATACTGAACACCAAAACTTTAAGCCTTAAGCTTGTTTTTTCTTGCTTTAACATTTCCCCCCCTTTATTTTGTTACATGGATACTATCTATTTTCTTTACATAAAAGACAGTCATGGTTAGAAGCAGGCAAAATATATGGCAGGCACAGTTCTATTCCAGGCAAAGGTCATAAAATCAAGAAATAATTGTGATACATGCTTGTTTCATTTTCATTAAAATAAGTATGAAATAAAATTCAAAATGGAAATATTTTCTTGATTTATTATGCTGATTGCTTACTCTGGTACTTACTTCATATACTAAGTAGAATCCTTTTTTTCATATTTAATTCTTTATATCCATATCCATCCTACAGTAAAGTTAGATTCAGATAACTGTGGGTCTCAAGCTTACTGTGAAAGATGTGTACTCCCTTGTGAAATGCTTTTTGGAAATCTGTGAACACAGATAGGTTCATAGCTATTCATAGCTTCTTGGAAATCAAGGACCTCGGGGTCTTAATGGCTATTGCGAGGTTCCTGATTATTGGAAACTACCTTGCAGATTATTTTATGATAATAGCATTTATTAGGGTCTGCAGCTTTATTAATGAAAGGTGTTCTTTTTTCACAGTACAAGCAGCCTAATCATCGATGTAGTTTTGCCTAAGTCCACCTTAGCTACACAAAGGTAAATAAAGGCACATTATAACTCTATCTACTATGCATCACCAGAAATAGACCAAGCAGCTTTAGTGACCTTTAATAATGTCTATGGACTGCTTCCAGCTGATGTACAAAAAGGATTTAAAAAGTGCATTTGCACCCCAATGTTGCAGTTACCTTGTATGATAGGAAAATAGATCACTGGGAAAGGACACAAACCCATTAAAAGGCCCATACTTGTACACAGAACAGTCACTCTGCTGTTGCTGCATTATGCTACTTGTTCTTGCTTCTACATGCCACTGAATGAACCAAAATTATTTCAAACAATCTGGAAGGGAGAATGATAACAAATCTGCATTATAAATAGCCAAGTGAATTAGAGATTCTTGGCTGGAGGCAGAACTACATATTGTACCTGGTTTTCCAAGGTTATTTCCATCTATTATGTATATGTAGAGTCATCCAGATGTAACTTATACTCAAGGGCATTCAGAAGCCACTACAGTAGATCATGGAGGGGAAGGGGAAGCCTTATAATCTTTGTAAGAATCCAACTATAAGGATCAGTGGGAGATGGAAAAAAAGACTTGCAGGTACAATTTAGCTGCAAAAATGCAATTTATTTTTGGCAATCAGCCAAGGCAGATTTAGAATCCTGTATGATTCTTTTGTGAAATGCTTATAATTATAATCCAAAAGTGTACCAAAAAATCTAGAAATATATAATCCAAGGACAATCCCACAAGAGACACAGTCCTAATAATAGGATTACTGATTACAGTAATCAGAGTAACCCATAGAAATACAGCCTATAATAATTCTGTTTACAGTGTGCTACACACACAAGACATCAGGGATCAAGGTGTATCATTGCCAGAGGTGCCTGTAGGATAAGAAAAAATGTTTAATACACAATTCAGTTGGCTTAATTATGGAAATTGTGTTACATGCTACAGGAAAGGATGAATAAATATCATGAGACGGTAAGATTCCTTCTCAGTAAGGAAGTGAGCTAAAACCGAGCATCCAAAGCAATGTCCATCTATAAACCTCAAAGCAAGGAACTCTCATTGTATAACACAAAACCTTCAGCAAGGAACCAAGATTCTTTAGGCGATTCCAAGGACTTGCATGCACCCAGAAGAGTATTTGACTTTTTTTCCCCTTTTCTGTTAGAAACTAGTTCCCAGGCCCTATCAGAAACTCTTTCTGAAGTTCCATGCAACATGCCATAATAATTTGAAATGGGGAACTGTTTTTAAAAAAAGAAAAGTCAAAAATTCTCTTGAGGTTTTAGTGCTAGTTGTGATAGTCTTTGGAACTTAATCAGACTTTTTAACTTGGGGCTCTGCAGGTGTGTTTAATTACAGTTCTGCAACCAGCTTAATCAATTACACCAGGAAGGCAGAAGTCTAGCCCTAGATCTTATTCTTTTGCCACGAAGCAATGCCAGAAGGGAAAAAAAAAATGCACAAATGTAGAAATCAATTAAGCTGTACCATGCCAGTGTTTGAATCATACATATTTACAATATAGGTTTCATGGCCAACATCAATCCAGTGGTGCTGAGCTTCTGGGCTAATAGGCCATATCTAATTATCTGGTATCCTGACATTTCACCAGCAGCTATGGCTGGCATCTTCAGAGATAAAGTGATCTGCTCTGTAGCACATTTCTCAGTGGCTCACAAGCAACTGAGCAGAAACTGACTGAGCTCTTGTATTTGTAACAGAATTAATTTCTAATTGGACCATGTCACTGGAAAGCCAGTTTCTGACTGGTTCTTTATCCAGGTGAATTTCTAATTGGTCTGATTTGAACAAGTTCCAAAGGAGCTAATTTTTTTATTGTTCTGTCTTTGAAACACGCTATTACTTATTATTTCAGGTGAGACAGCTGAAGATTCTATATGGTGTTGGCTAATTAAGGGCTGTTTTATTTTAGTGTGACATAAAACTGGAAACCAGGCTTTGTTAACCTTCAGACTCTCTTCCTTCTTGTTAAAGTTATTGGGGTATTTATAAATCTCAATAGTTTCTCTGTGTAGTTGTGCATGATTATTTGACAGGATTGCTAATACTTGCGTGTCTTTAAATTGAATCTATGCCCATTATGTAGCAGTGTGTGTTCAGCTACCACTGATTTTCAAGTTCTAGCAAGCAATATTTTTTGTGTTCTTTTAGTTGAATGTTCTTTAGTTCCAATATATACCTGTCCACAACTGCAAGGTATGCAATAAATTCCTGATAATGAAAGTGGTCCTGCCATCCTTAGGTGAATGAATAATTTCTTGGATTTTTCTTATTGGTTTGTAGATAAGCTATATTTTTCCAGTAATTTTAAGTTCAGTTTATAATTTTCTCAATAAAAAGGAGAAACACCTTTCCTACTCTGGGTGGTTTGTCCTTTGATATATATCTGAAGCTGTTTTTATTGCTGGATTGCATCACTCGTCTGATCTCACCAACAGAATTGCCGTTAGCCTGTAAAGTGCTGTCAGGGTATTTCAACTCATCGGATAATCTTTCAGGTTCACAAATAAGTCTAGCATGGTCAGCAAGAGTTTTAATAATACTTCTTTTCTAGCAGGAATGATGGCTAGACTTAATAGCAATTAAATGTGTGTTGGTTTTTGGTATATTGTATGTCCAAGTTGTTGGTTTTTTCTTTTAATGATTAAAACATCCAAAAATGCAAGTTGGCCATTCTTCTCTTCCAGTGTAAACTGAATATTTTGGTGGACACTATTCAGATGCTCTAGAAATTTCTTGAGCTTTTCCTCACCATAACTCCAGATCACAATGATGTCATCCGTGTACCGAAACCAAACTGATGGCTTTAAAGGCACAGTGACTAGTGCCTGTCATTCACATTTCTATGTGTAGAAATTGGCTATAAATAGACTCAGTGGGCTTCCCATGACAACCCATTTAATTTGCTCAGAGAATTTGTTGTTCCCCTGGAAATAACTGCTAGTGAGGTAATGGTGGAGTAAATTGGTAAAGTCTTCGGAAAAGATTTCCTTAATATATAATGATGTTTCCTTAATCAGCAGTTAGGTAGAAAGGAAAACCACATCAAAACTGATCAGTCTATCACCTTGTCTAAGACTGAGCTTGTTAAGTTTCTCAATGAAGTGGGTTGAATCCTTAATATATGTTGACATAAGTCCATTGTAAGGTTGTAAAAATGCAGCTAGGTGTTTGGCAATATGATAGTAGGAGAACCAATGGCACTCATGATCAGACATAATGGCATAGTCTCTTTATGCCTCCTTGGTAAACGATACGTACAAGGCTCCCATCTCTCAAAGACCTTTGTGCATCTCATAGTCTCGATGAGACAATCAGTTTTTCATAAGACATTAGCTGTTGGATCACATTTAAGTTTCTTAGAAGGTGCCCGGTCTAAGAGGTCTAAGATCTTGTTCTGATAGTCTTTCATATTCATAACTACTGTAGCATTTCCTTTATCCGTTGGGAGAATAATGATACTCTCTTCTGCATTAAGATTCTTTAAGGAACGTGTTTCTCCCATTGTCAAAGTACTGGCAGGGGGATGAGATCTCTTTAAAACTCTAGCTGTCTTGTGTCTTATTTCTTCTACAGCAGTGTTTTTCAATTTCAGCAATGTTAAGGTGTGTAGACTTCAACTCCCAAAATTCCCCCAGCCAGCATGTACCTGAAAGTTATTTTAAAGCAATCTTAAAGTTGCTGAGGTTGAGAAGGGGATGAGATCTCTTTAAAACTCTAGCTGTCTTGTGTCTTATTTCTTCTACAGCAGTGTTTTTCAATTTCAGCAATGTTAAGGTGTGTAGACTTCAACTCCCAAAATTCCCCCAGCCAGCATGTACCTGAAAGTTATTTTAAAGCAATCTTAAAGTTGCTGAGGTTGAGAAACACTGTTCTACAGCATTATTAGGAAGATTATGAATAGCTGCTTCAATATTTGAAACAATGTTGTCACTGTGTACCACTGATGGCACAACTGCAAAATTTCCTCCTTTGGCTAAAACCAGCATCTCATGACTGCTGAGTGGGTGATCAGAGAGGTTAATGGCTGTACCCTATCAAGTATTAGTTTTAAACAGCTGTGTTGATAGCCATCAAATTTGTGTTTCAGTTTCAGAATATAATATTCTCCATTTTTCTATGAGTCAAAATATGAGTCTTGTTCCCATCTTGACTTGTCATCTTGTTATTGATTTGGAGATATAGTTGAAGTAGCTGTTATCTATAAGAGCTAAATGCTTTCATATGGAGTAAATCATTTCTCATAATAAGGTATGTTATTACCTTAGCTGCCCAGAGTCCCTTGTGAAGATGGGCAGCTGTACAAATGGAAGGAAGGAAGGAAGGAAGGAAGGAAGGAAGGAAGGAAGGAAGGACCGTGTTTCAAAGAGCTTCCAGTCTACAAACCTGATGGAAAATATTCTCACCAGAGAGGCAAACAATATATTGATATAGCTTTCTGTAGCTGCCAAGAAGTACA